TCACACACACAACTGTTCAGAAGCTGAGCTATGTGTGCAGAAGGGTTTCAGTGAGGACACAATACAAGTGTGAAGGGCTGGGTATTATTAAGCAGAGATGCATTCATGTAAGAATCACCCAGAATCAGCTAGAAATCAAAAGGGGCAGCAGGAGACACTGGGACACTTGCAGCATGACTCAGAGAGAGAGATGAGAAAGACGGTGTTTTAGGTAGAGTGCTTGCTGGCCACTGTGAGCAAAATAAGTGGTAAGGAAGCAGTACTTCAGCGTACTCTTTGTACAGAAACAAGACTGGAAAGAAATACCCAATTTTACCATCACTTCCTGTTCCTAACAGAAACAAATTGCAAATCCCCAAATCTTGGCTAACTGGACAGGTCAATAAGGGCACCAAGTTCTTACAGCTTAATTTTGGAACAGGAACATTAGATATCTTTTTTCTTGCATTTGCTTATTTGCACCATGAGCAAAAACATTCTAAGTAACAGTAACAGTAATCTTGTGGCTCTACAGCCACAAGTGCAGCTGTTTATAGGTACTCTTTGGGTTTATGGGTTATGTACAGTGAATGACAGTTACTACAGTATAGTACAGAGATGCATAAATAAAGTATTCCAGTACCAGCCTAGCCTTGGTAATACAGAACTAAGAGCAGACTAATTTCCCCAGTATTAGCCAATGCACCAGAAGAAAACACCCATTTTCTCAATGAAGGCAAGGTCAAAGAGAAGCTGAACAATTAATGTGTGGTTTCCTGACATAACACTAGATATCTGCGTTAGAATCTGGCATTGTTGTGATTCAGTGTTACACTGTACTGATGTGACAGCATATCAAAATAATTTTACAATGCAAATGCTGAGATTAGAATACTTATAGGTCTGTACTATCAGATTATAATATTTGGGTCTCTGAGACCATTTGTCAAGGTGGCTCTATTATGTTTCTGTCCTACTGACCTTCTGCACAGGCTTGCACCTTTTCTTTTGAAGTTTTTGGGACAGTAAGTGATACTGACAACTCTGATTATTTTATTCAGCACTGTTTGTACTGGTCTCCATTAGAGGATTTAAAAAAAATGTAACCATTTAAGCAATAATCTTAGAATAATTGACATATTTGTAAACATTCCCCAATAATTTGTTCCAAGCTGTGTTGAAGAAAAGGCTTATCAGAGACTCTCAGGGTATGAACAAGCATTTGCATCGCCCAAGGTGCACTAGGCATGCCATTTTTTAGCCAAATTAAATGCTCTGAATGCCTGCATGATTGGGCATTTAGATAGACTTAACCATAGTTAGGATGATCTAAATGTAATGCCTGTACGTCCTTCAGTGGCTGCCACAGCTGCTTCTGTGGCACATGCTCTCCTCTCACTGGACTGTGCTGCCACCATCAGTGGTGGCTGTTATTGCTGCCCAACAGGCTCCCTATCCACTAGCAGCAGTGATTGCTGCTACCACTGCACAGGCACCTCCTCTAAATCAATGCCTGCGACTGGTGCCCTGCATGCCCACTCCTAGTTATGCTACTAGACTAGGCTCACCAGACTGCACTTCAACCTGCTAATGTGTGAAAGCTACAAATTGCCTTGTGCATTAGTTTCCACATCTTGAGCTAACGCCTGGGGAAAAAAATGACCATTTTTTCTAGTGTGGACTCATAGGTAGTTGTGCAAGTCAAGACTCTGTATCTCTAAGTTGAGAGCAGTGATATTCTAAAAAAAAGTTGAGTGTGCAGGATATATTAAAATCTATTGTGCCATGTCAGCTGTCTAAAAACTAATTACTGCAGCTGCTTGAATATGCTTACAATGCTTTTTTTTTGTATGTCTATAACCATCCCTTGCTCTGATAATTTCTTCCTCATGGCAAACTGTTCATTTTAACAGGGACATCAGAAGACTTAACTGCCTAGAAACCAGGAAAAACAGACATGATGCCCAAGATAAATCTGAAGAGAGTTCTCACTGAAATTGTATGCTTTCTTCTTTATTCAAACATATTTATCATGTACTGAGCTAGACAAAAAACAACAGAAATATCAAGGGGCTTTAGAAATGAATGTAGGTACCTAAGGGGAAATTTAAATTGATTTTTTGCCTGGTATAGTATGGGAATCTCTCTACAAAAAGAAAGAAAGTGAATTGCACGTGTTTTGTAAATAACAATGTCGATTTAAATTACAGTATGAAAATGCTTTCATATTTCAAATAGCTTTTCAGACTCTTGCTTAACTGCAGCCTGAGCTTCTTCACAGCAGAAGTTGTTGCTGCAAGTGGAATAGAAATAGATGATCACAAAGATGTACCTTGCTGGGTACGCTCTTTGAAAATATGGGTTCTTTTCGAAAGAGACCGTCCATCCATATTCTGTATTATCAATGGCTAGTTGAGCAAAACCCATAAGTTGTGCATCTCATGAGAAGGTTTCTACTGAGACACCTTATCTATTTTATTGCTTGGAACTGAAATTACTGATGTTTTATCACAAGGGTTCCTAACCTGTGGCCTGTGAGTTTGATTTTTCATCAGTTAACTTCAAGACAATTTTTTTAAGAAGGTAGGACAAGACCCAATAAAGCTTGGGAGCAGCTGTGTCTTATTCCAGGTTGACACACACTGCAGTTTGGAAGCTAAGGACTTCCAAAGGATTCCCATGGAACCATAGCACAGGATGGCACTTCCTTTACAAAGAGAATAGGAGCACACAGGATCTGGAGATGTTCCAGCGGTTGGTTTTTTTTTCCCGATTTTGCATGAGTCAGGGAATAATCAGGTGTTGCCCAGCTGTAGCCGCATGCCAGAGCAGTTAGGGGTGCAGTTTCCAATATGATATCTGTGCAGATGGAAGATATCTAATTTGCAGTATTTGTCTGACTACAGCATTTCTTCCTGTGCTTGTTTGGATGGTTTCTCTAGGCCATCCATGGTTTTTCTGGTGCAGGGTTCAGTTAGATTTCTCTTAAACAGACCCATGATACCCAATCACTGTCCAAATTATATGGCCTTCCCCCTTGTTTCAATGGCTTTTAGTGTCAGAATTTTCTAAGGCAATAGATGTGTTTATATTTTTCTGAGCATTTAGGTTTGGGAGAAGAGTTTTTGGCTCTTCTCAGGACCATTCAGGTTGGTTGCCAGCATTTGGGGTTCTCCGGTGGCAGGCGATGTAATACATGCGATTCTTCAGTTTCTAAGGAGAGAAGTTGTTCAGACTGCAGTGGATGAATGTTTCGGTGAGACTATTTGCTCATTAAAATTCTTCTAGGTCAAAGATTCTTAACCAGGGTGCTGGCACACCCTGGGGTGCCACCAGACCTTTTGAAAGATGCTGTGAGGTGTGAGGAGATAGAACTTGGTAGTAAATAAGTTGATAAACTAAGCAGGTAAGCACAGGTTCAGGTTTGTTCCTGCCTAGATGATCCCCCATCCCCAATGCCAGGCCCCTCTGTAAGGAAGTAACCACTGTAATCCATCAATTCATTTTTGAAACTGGGAGCCACTCTGTTCACAGAAGTTATGCAGGGATGCCTCATGTCCAAAAGTTTGAGAACCACTACTCTTTGTTTTTAGCCAGCAGTTCTGGGATCCCTTTTCTACCTGTCAGGACAGTATTGGTTTATTCTGTGGTGCTCAACCTTTTTGTCCAGCAGACCAGATTGGCAGGGCCCTCTGTGGCCCCATCCAGCCACATGGAAGGGGATGGCGGACATCCCAGCCCCAATCCAGCTATAGGGGAAGGGGGCTTGGCCTGGCCCCAAACCTGACCCCACGGTGAGGAGGGAAGGGGCGTGGCCCAGCCCAAACCCAGCCAGACAGAGAGGAAGGGGGCATGGCTCAGTCACAAACCAGCTGTACAGGCATAGGGGGCATGGCCCAGCCTTGATCAGATCCTATCAGGGGAGGGTCCTGGTCCATCTCTGATCTGCCACATGCAGTTTAGGATCTCGGTAGTGGGAAGGGGTGGTAGTATTAATGGACACTGCTCCCTACTGCCAAATTTCCCAACCCATGGGGAGTTCTATGGGCCATATTCCAAGGCTCTGCAGGTCTCATTTGGTCCGCTGGCTGGAGGCTGAGAACCCCTGGTTTAGTGCCGCATGAGAAACACAGAAGTCATTAAAATCTGTCAAGAGAAAATTGGGTCCCACCAACTAAGGACACGTGCAGCCACAGCTTCTGGCCAGAACATTATGCCATTTGCCATATGCACCCAGAATAATTGAAGTTCTATATTAGCACACTTAAACTCAATTTTGTTAACCTGTATGTGGTTGCTAAAAATTTTTACATTAGTTTGAGCTTCAAAGGTTACAAGATCATGACCTCACAATGGCTGCCTGAAGAGAGAATGGGCTGCAGCTGAGGGCTTTAAATGTCTACATTTAAAGAGTTTTGCCAGGATTGCTACACATGGTTCCCCTACTGAAGAAGCAATTTATTCTGGCAAACTTCTTTTGTCAGTACAGCTTAAACTTGATCAAAGTAAGGTAAAACTGGATCCATATTAGTACGTTTCTAGCATAGCTACTACAGCCAGTGCAGTAGACCACTTAAGTGCAGACCAAGATGAGACTGTGAAGTTCAGGCAGTTATCTCGTGTAGTATAGAATGAATAGATTTCCACATTGTGCATCCTAGCCAGTCCTGAAACTAAAAAGTTGAGGTTATTCATTTAAAGAGAATGATCTAATAAAAGAGAGCAGAGAGCAATCTAAAAAATTAGCACAGGGGTCAGTAACCTATGGCCATGGGGTCAGCAGCAGAGGGCTCCGCCAATGCCATGCTGCAGGTGGGTACATGGGATTTCAGTGGAGGGGGAGCTCTGCTTGAAATGCGCTGCAGCCAGGCAGCATGGAGAAGCACTGGAGGAGGCCAGGTCCTAGTTCCCACTGGTCTCAACTGGAGCTTGGTCATTCTGGCCCCAGCCAGAAATTGTTGCCAACCCTTGACTTGACAGCTGCCCTCTAAAATGCCTTTAATAAAGTGCGTACACCTTACCTAAAGTTTTGATAGGGTCAGAATATTCAGAATCTGTAAACTGGCCTTTAACATTTGTTGCTCTGAACTTAAATCTGTAAAATACAAGTAAGTTAACAAGGAAAGGTAAGGTAAGGTAAGGTAACCAAATGTCTACACACAAGTATTAAAACATCTCTCCAGTTAACAATGAGTCAGTATCTCTCCACTCAAGGAAAAATATGCAATCAATACACAGCATATAATTAAAGAATGCTAATGGTACCATGTTAAAAGAACACTGTATATGCATGAAACAGGCAGAACTTATTTTGCATTTATACTTGCTGAATTCAAGTATAAGAATCTTCCATTACTAAAATAACAAAAAAGTGCTTATCTATTGTTCTCTCACACACTTCAGGAAAAAAAAAATCAGTATCTGCAAATTTAAAACTACTTAGTATAGAATATCTGATGTAGATTTGGACTCTATATACAGTCCTTTGAAGGTCATTGTAGACATTGGCTTTTCTAGAGTAGGCTTAAAAGTACACTTCTACATATTGTCTGATGACAGCACATAGAAATATGTATTTTGATTGAACCTTTTTTGTTGCTGTCAAATAGCAACATAAGCCTATATTAATATACTTACAAGTATTGCTTTCTTGGTTTCAGTGGGCCATTGCAGATTTTATCTTCACTGCCTGGTATCAAACATGTGGTATCAGCACCTATGACATATACATCTTCTTTAACACTCACTCCTTCCTTTCCCTCTAAACATGGTGGATTAGGAAAGCCTTCATTGGTAAAATATGGCCTTGGCTTTTTGAAGTAGGCATCATACCACTTAGTAACATTCCCATCATGCTGAACTATTGCCAATAAAAAAAAAAAAAAAAAATTCAATGGATTATATTTATAAAGGTAAATCAAAGATTTTAAAAGTACTTAGCACCTACAGCTGAATCCTATTTCCCTTTACAGTTTTCTGGCTGTGCAACTGCCATTTTTGGCACTTAAGCACAATTTTCAAGTCTATTGCTCAGGGGGTGTGACTGCATGGTCAGTAGGCTGAACATTTATGGTTCTTGAACATGTAAACTGGGGAGATGTAAATCACAAAAGTCTACCTAGCAAAACACTAAGGCTACGAGGTATTATACACCAGAGGAACAGGAGGGTAGCCCTCACACTACCCCAGTAGCTGAGTGGTTAGGCCACTTGTTAAGAAAGCAGAACACCCAAGGTACCTGTAGACACGTGGGGAGGCTGCTTTAATGTGCTGTAATTACAGCACGTCAGAGCAGACTTGATTACTTAAGTTTGCTGGAGTGTGCTAATTAGCACACCTCCAGCAGCCTCCATGTCTCATGTGTCAGTGTCCACACTCAAAACCACTCTAATTAAAGTGCACCCTCCCCACCCGCATCACCAGAGTGTGTGTAAAAACACCCCCAGGTTCTAGGGCACTCATAGGGAGTAGGTTTGAACGTGCATCCTTCCAACATGCCAGGGCAGTACTCTAAGCACTAGACCACAGGTTAGGCTTTATTCAGGTCCTTCTCCAGCCCTCCTTGTTAAGTTGCACACCTGGGCAGCCAACAAAGGGTGGAATGCAGATCCAAGAGAAAGAGAATAAGATAGAGGGTATGGCTCAGGGAGATAGATGCTTCTCTAGAAGGGAAAAGCAGACCCTGGTTTCTTAGCTTGGATCTTTGCTCCCACGGGGGAACAGAAACTTCCCTATGGATCTTTACCCATTTTATGTAATAACACTGGGAAGTCCAGAGATGCAGGTTGAAGCCTTCTCTGAGCGAGAGGCCTAGAACCTGGGTCTCCTGTTTCCTGGGCAAATGCCCTATCTACTCAGCCAGTAGGGCCAAAACATGGGAATGCCTTTTTCTTCCTCCTGTTTTTTCCCAGGTCAGAATTTTGGGATTTATACACATGCTGAACAGCATACCTTCCCAGCAAGAAGGAGTCTACTGTATGTGCTCAGTAGACATGTGGACACTTAAATATCCCTGTTGCACAGGGGCTAGGGGCAGAAATTACATATAAACTGGTATAAGTGATCAGAAACTGGTTCAAATCTTTAACACAACAGAAATTCAGTGCATATAAACCATTTTCAAAATGGCCAAAATCATTTTAAGATAAACCTGGATAGATGTGGTATCAGACTTAACTGATTTAGGTTAAATCAATTTATTGAACTTCTGTCCCAGATCTCTCCAGATTCAAGTTAACTCACAGTCCCCCAGCATCCCAAGTTGCTTTGTACCTCCCCTGCAAATCCCCTCTTGCAGGGTGCGTGAGCTAGCTTTGGCCCAAGCTGTGTGCTCCAGCTGAGCAGGGTGGCACACTCTAGCACCCCCTGGCTTCTGGCCTGGGCTACTGCAGGCATATGGCTGCATTTCTGGAATCAAAAGTGAATGGCTGTTCACTTGCTTATTGATTCAATCTTTGCAGCTTAAGCTAACTTGCAAAAATTGAACTGATTCTGCCTCAAGCTTTTTGACTAGCTGTACTTAGCCAGGGAGTCAGAGTGCAAACTGTTCAAACTGCCAAAAGGCCTGGAAAAAATGCTATTCAGATACGAAAAGTGAAATACGATTCTGTCTCTAATATCTCCCATTTTGAAACCTAAATAAATTAGAAAAATCTTGCAATGATGCATAAGCTTCCAATGATGCATAAGCTGCAGTGGATGCTTACAACAGGAAGCACAAAGTGCAATGTGAGAATGCTCTGCTTCCATACAGCACAGCCTAATGGCATATGAAAGTCCAATATTTGGGACTTTCCTTTTTTAAGTAAAGAACAACCAGCTGTGCAAGATCCAACTGTGAAAACTTTACTCCCATGGGTAGGCACATACTTAAAAGTAGAGCCAGAGGACACCTATATGAGTAAATGTCCACCCAATACAAATAAGTGACCTCATTCTCAGATCTATAGTGTATAAAAGGGACTTATTTTAGTCCTTCTGACCATTATAAAATTGAAGTGCTCTACAAATTTACATTATACACAACAATAATGGCAACAGCAGTAATGCCAGTGGAAGTTCCAAATATTTTCATTTCACACATACAACACGTAGCATTCTTTTCAAGAAAGTTGTGGTTCTGTAAAAAAAAGGAATGAAAAAAAATAGATGACTGAACTCTGGAAAAGTTAACGAGGAAGAGGATGTGGGTGACTTCAGCCAGTAAGATTATTTGTTGGCCAAAAAGGGTGGAGTCCTGTGGCACGGTTCAAAAAATTCATCACAAACAGATAATGCCTCAGCTTTGAAGCATGAAATGGTGGCAGAGTGAGGTGCAGGTGTGTGCTGAAATTGCTGGAGTGACTGAGTCATCTCCCTCCTCTTCATCAAATAAGGGCAATGAAGGAACAGGTCACATACAAGAAACTAAAAAGATGCAAAAAATTAACAATTTTTTCCTACCTCCTGCTTCAGCTACAAGAACTTGTATCATTTTAATAGGTCCATGGACATCACTATAGTAACATACAGGCATTTTGATAGCAATTGTTGTATCAGTAACAAGTAGCGCCCCACTCATATCGTAAACTGGTGTTGGTTTCTTCTTAGGGCGTGGTGGTTCTGTTTTTAAACAACAGCATGCCACAGTGTTTATTAGCTAAAATCACATGGTTCAGGCATATATTTGTGTTATAGGATAGAACTTGCTTAAGCGGGGTTGCCTAGTGTCCTAATTTAAGCCTCTGATCCTGTCAAGGGGATCCTAACAAGGAGTAGAGTCTGCCCTTGCAAATGCCTTTACAGGATCCGAGCCCAAGAGGTAGTCTCATGAAGTAGGGAAGCCATTAAAAAATATCACAGATTCAGTTTTCCTATCTGCAAAAGGAGCTATGTTTTTTATCTAAGTCTATGGAATGTAGCAAGGTATAACTAGATAGAGGTCCATACTCTATTTCTAACAGGCAGGATTATGGGCTTCATTCTGAAATTCTTATCTATAATTAATTGTTTCCTATTCTGCAAGTTGTCAGACTGACTTTATGGGTAGTACTTATGGAGAACAGTATTATGCAATTATGAATAAGGCTACCATGTTTTACTCCTGTGTATAAGCAGTTTACAAAGGAACCATAATTTACAGCAGAGGTTAGAACAGAACTCATAGTTATGAGTCTCGCCTGTATGCTCATGCTTTTAGTTTATGTGGCCTCTAGAGGAAGAACAGGAACCCATGTATGTGTAAAACTAAATATACAGCAGTATTTGATATAGGGATCCCAGCAGGGGAGGCACCAGCCTCTTCCTGGTGTGCGGGCGGTGCTTCCTGGTGGGAAGGCTACATTGCAGGCAGGAGCGGGGCAGGTTCAGCTGCGTGGGGCGGGTGGTGGAGGAGGCAGCCCGGGGGGCAGCTATAGGGGGCGGGGTTAAGGCAAATTTTGGGATGGCTAGCTCCACCCCCCCTGCCTCCCCAGCGCCACCCCGGATCCCAGTAAAGAGACCCTTTATTATGCATACCTTTTATATCCATGGTTATTTTCAGCTGGATTTTTGGCCCTGCACCAGCACTGTTGATTGCATACACCTTGAAAAGAAATTAGCATTTTATTTTAATATAAATTTGTTAGAGTTAAATTAGTCAAACCTAAATATAGAAAGCTCAAAGAGAGATAATGAATCCTGCAATTTTATATATACATAACACGACAAGATTGAAGGGTTTCTCTGACAGCATAAACTTTAAAATTGTAGCTTGAATGTTTTATTCATATGATCAGAATACAAGATGGGACTATATCTTATTTTAGATATACACCAGACTGCCTTATTTAGGATCCTTAGTTCTACCTAATGTCTCCAGCCCCATTTCTTTTCCCAAACTGTTCCCCAAGCCTCTTAGTTTCCCTCATGCAGCTGTCTTACATCCTTCATTCTTGTCTTCCTGTCTTAAAGATATTACCTCTAGGATAGATTTGTGATCTATATTTAATATAGAAATATTATAAATATAGAAATATATAATAATATATTCTATATAATAATATAATAATATATTCTATATAATAATATAGAAATATAGAAATATAGAAATATTTGTGTGTGTATATAAACTGTAAACAGTTGTAAAGTAATATTATATGGTATTACCTCTGATTCTCCTTTAAAAAACAAAATATATAACAGTAGACCAAAGTCTACTCTTAGTGACGTCCGAAGTTCTTTGGATTTACAATCATGCAACTGAGAAGAATTTGGTCCACTTCGTTTACCTCTCCAAACTTCTTGGATAGTAAAAGGAATCAAAAACTAATTTCCATTCCTTTTCTTGTGTCATTCATACTTTGTTGGCATTTATTCCACTATTGTCTAAAATCCTAGGGCATTTTTATATGTGCTCCAAGGGGCCTGCGAGGGGGCGGGACAGGGGGGACTTTAATTAGAGTAGCTCTGACAGCTATTTTAATTAAAGCAAGCGTCTCATGTATCAGTGTGCCCACACTTTAAAATAGCAATGGGGACACTTTAACTAAAGCTCGTTCAATGAGCTTTACTTAAAGCACCCCAATTGCCATTTTGAAGCGCAGAGATGCTGATACATGAGACGCAGAGGCTGCTGGAAGTGTGTTAATTAGGGTGCTCCAGCAGACTTGATTAATTGAGTCTACTCTGACGTACTGTAATTAAAGGGTTATGTCCAGCAGTAGTTTTACTCTAGCTTTTCTTCCTCTCCAGTTCTAATTTGTTTGCTTCAATGGGACTACATGCAGGAGTAAAGAATCACCCCATGAATTCTGTTTCTAGAACTGGACTCTGAATTTGAAACCAATTAACAATACAAATTAACTCAAGGGTCAAAAGCCAGGCACAATTTTATAGTTGCGGATGATGTGTCAAAATATGACCTGGTGATCTAAACCTAGACTAGGCTAGGTGACACCAGTAAGGTTGTAAGGTCATGTCTATACTATCTCAGCAGCAATCCTGAGACCACAAACCCTGCACATTCTTTCCCACTTTACAGTCACTATTTACTGAAAACAATCTTGTACGGTTGCTGTTGGAGTGGTGTTCAAATTATAGAGACAGAGGTAGAGATAGAGATTCTGAGAGTATCCTGACAAGTGTCCCAAGCACCCTTAGTGTCAATGACTTCTCACCCATCCACTTGAGCCTCTGGTTACAATAAGGTAATGACGTACAATCAGGTAACAAAATCACACTGTTAGCCAAGGCCAGCATTCTTCATTCAGACAAGTCTCTCTCTGACACCAAAGACAGAAAACTGCATTACAACTTACACTTATGTTATATGTATAGCCTCCTTTTAGCCCTTCTATCATAGCAGTGATTAATTTATTTGTTTTGTCAATGACACTTAGATTGTGAATCTGGACAACAGAAGGGTCTTCTTCATTGTAAACCATAGCTTGATATACTTGAATATTTCCATTAGGTTCAGAGGGTGGCACAAATGTCACTTGGAATTTTGTTACTTCATTCGGTATCTTCTGAAATGTTATGTTGTTTGGTGGGTCTTTAGGCACTAAAAGAAATAGCTTATTAAAATATCTTATTAATTAATTTTAATTACAATGGATTATAATTATGTATGGATTAAAATCCTGGAAGGCCACAGATTATATTTTTAGATATCATTATAACATTATTGCTACTTAATTAGTTTTTATTAGAAATAACTATCCAAATACTTGTGGCTCATGAACATATAAATACTGTGTAATGATAAATATTTTTAATAAAAAACCTGTTTGGTGCCAAAGTCTGGTGCTGTATGGGTATTTAATGTCACAAAGAGCAAACCTAATCATTAGAAATATATTGTAAATAATAACACTTCACAAGCAACGACCTTACATCTCTAAACTCATCTTTTCCTGTAAGGCCCAAGAAGCAAGTTAGCCTTGAAGAATGATCTGAATGTAAAAAACAAAAAATCCTTATTTTGTCATCCCCAACTTTCAGAGCTTTTAGAGCTCCATCCTGAAAACCCTCAGCTAGTGGCAAACAAGGGGCTGCTCTATCAAGAGCCACTTCTGAGCACAACAGTATCCTCTGTCCTTTCCAATAGCCAATACCCAAACCTATTTAGGGCTTTATAGGTCAAACATGTGCTTTGTATTCTAGCCACAAACTTACTGCAGGCCAGTGCACATCTCAGGGCACAGTATAAAATATTATCTTCCCCTACGATACTGTTGAAAAAATGATTCTAAGGTACCAAATCCCAGGATCATTTTACCAAGGTCTCTGTCTAAAACAAATGGCTGTACCACATATAGAAAAGCCAGGTGAGATCAGCTGCAGAAACAATTATAATTGTCTATAGCTCACATAAGAAATAATCAAACAGCAGACAAGTGACCTTCCTGGTATAAACTTGTTTTCACTGGTCAGTGGTACCAAGGTCAGTTGACACATCTAAGAGTATGGACAGGAAGCTAATGACAGGAAGCCAGCCCTATATCCAGACCTGAAACTATAGTTAAAGTTATAGTTAAAAAACTAAAGTTCTAAACCAGTTGATAATTAGAAAATGTGTCATGCAGCAAAATTATATATAGTCAATTTAGTTAGGTTTTTTTTTTAAAAGGATAGCTTAACGAAATAATTCAAAACCAGCAGAGAGGTGATTAAAAATGTATCAGCAGCGCTTTGTCATAAATGAACTAATATTCTCAAGGTATTATATTTTTTCATTTAGCTGCACTATCATATAAAAGGATAAGGCCTTAAGCCTTTTGATTCCTGCATGTAATTGCTGACTGGACCAATGAACTGATGCTCAGCTTGGAATCAGGAGAACTGTGTTTCATTCCCAGCTCTGCCACTGAGAACACTGAGCTCTTTGTCTCAGTGCCTCCAGCTGTAAAAAAGGTATTATGATACTTATATTTAAAGTGTAAAGCACTTTAAGATGTATGGGCTATAAAGGCTAAGTGTTATTATGTATTTATTATCACTTTTCTGTCTACAAGAATAATTTAAATATAAGAAAAAATGTAAAAGCATTTAATGTGAAAGCAAAATCTAAAGCTGCATTGAAAACAGCTAGCACCTAACATTTATATTTTATTTACTGAACAGATATAATGGAAAAAAGGAACGGTAAAGTTACATTAAGTTAAACAACAAAAACACTTACCTGCTTCAAAAGTGGAGACGATTACTGGTGTGCTAGCTTTGCCCTCAAGATATGCAGCATTTACATCTCCTGTAAAGGCGATGATTACCACAGAATATTTTGTAAATGCTTTTAAATCTGAAATTTCCAGGGTTCTATCCTCATCATTTGTCTTAAGAAATACAGCTTTGTAATTGTCACTATCTACCTGTAAAATAAATAAACACAACACTACAAGAAAGAGGATGTTACATGAACAGAATATTATATTTATTATACATTTATATATTATAGAAAATGAGAGTGCAGTAGCAGGGTAATTAAGTAGTTGTGCTAGTGCTTCAAAAGTGTGAGTTCGAGCCTTATTCCAAATCTATAGCAAAGGCTGTCTGCTTCCAGCCAGCTTGTCAGGAAATGGGTACATGGTCATGAATGTCAATTTTAAGGTACCCATATATGATGTTAACCACACCACTCAGGTGTGTGCAATTAACTACAGAAACTGGCATGCCTGGTTCTGTATGCTGAGGAGGACTTTTAACATCTTCTTTTGATATACACAAACCCATGTACACAGGTATGCAAGAATCCCAGTTATCAAAACTGAATTGCTGCATAGTGGAGTTATAAAATAAGAAATACACTACTGTTTTTAGCATATGTCTTCAAACAGAAAACCTCTGGCACAGTGGCTAGTCACTGTAGTTGTAGCTAGTCACCACTGTAATACAAACAACAATGCCAACCAACAAATATTGTTTTAACTGCTAAAAAAATAAAGGCACAGAAACATTTGCCTGTGCAGATTCTTAGCTCATTTTTCTCTAAAGCACGTTCAGAAAAAAGAGAAGATAATGGGAATGACTAATTCTACCTATACACAGCCACACTAGCACTCTAATAAATTGTAGGTTCAGTAAGAATAAGTCTTTAACTAGGGTTTTGGATTTCAGAAGTGCAAAATCATTCGAGAAATGAATTAAAGGTGGCTGATAGGATGCAATAGCTGAAGGATTTAAATGCGGAAATGAAATTACTTCAAGTCAAAAGTACAAATACTATTTGGATCTTGCTTCCCAAGCAAGTGCTAAGGTCTATGGATCTATTTGGATAAATAAACATCTGAAGCAACAAGCAATGGTGCTTACTTCTTGGGCTTTGGAGCTGCATGAAGGCAGGGGCTGAATGCCACAATTACTCGTCCTCCCTTTCCCCATGCTGCCATATTCACATGGAGCCAGGGTTCTGGGGAAAGGGAGGGCGAATGGCAGCAGTGCTCACCTCTAGGATCCTGAGCTATGTGAAAGCAGGGTCTCTGGCCAGGACCTGCGCTGACCAGCTGGTGAGCTCAGAGCTCATGGCCAGGTAGAGCTGCAACTGGAGTATGTATTTGCATGCCAATGAACAGAGGGGTCACTGGCATCTAGGATCATGGCAAAGAAGCGCTGTGCACAGCCCGATCCAACCTTACTGCGCATGTGTCACACAGCTGAAGGGGTGTTTGTGTTCTCATTCCCTTCACTGTGATCCTGGATCTACTCATGTTCAAACTCCCCTTGCCTGAAGGAGATGTAGAACTTGTGTCTCCTGCTCCTTGGGGAAACAGTTTAAGCCTTGGCCTAGGAGGTGCATAGTAGGCTAAGCTTAGGCAATGCTGAATTGCAACTTGTGCATCATTTCTAAAACCTGAAGTTCCATGGCTAGGTAGGGGCTCTTTTGGCTCAAACAGCAAGGTAGGATATGGCCCATTCCATTTAATATTTTCATAGACACCTTGGTACAGGAACTAGATCTATGTTTATAAGATTCACAGATGATAAATAATTGGAAAATACTTCCAAGAGGGGGAAGGATTGGATTATCATAAAAGAAGAATTACCAAATTTCATGGACTGGACTAATAAAAAGGGTATGAACTTTAATAGTACAAAGTGCAAAATTATGTACTTAGGGACTAATATCCAGATCTTTACTATAAGCTGTGGTCTCACAGATTGCAGGTGATGAAGAAAAAGAGAGACTGGTCTCTTAATTGCAAACTACTAACACAGAAAACATAGTTTATAAGGAAAAATTGAAAGCACTGGGTTTGTTTGGTCTAGAAAAGAGAGGAGTAAGGAAGGATGCAAGCAGAATATTCAAATATAGATATGGTCATTATAAAAAGGGGGGCGATACATTGTTCTCAACATTCATCCAGGTTATAACATCAAGATATTTTAGATATTAAAAAGCACTAGAACTTCTTATCGAGGAAAGCTAAGGACCCTTCATCACTGGAGCGGTTTAAAAATGGATTAGATATCTCTTTAGAGATAGATATTAGATATCTAATATATTAAAGATTAGATATCTTTAAAAATGGATTAGATATCTCTTAGGGCCTTGTTGCATGGACCTTTTGAGTGCTCCTGGAGCTCTTAACCCCTGGATTGTCCACACATTAACACCTGAAACTGGTTTTAAGCGCTTGTTATCTGACTCAAAGTTACGCCATTCTAGGGCAGAATTCTCTCTTATCTGTCCTACCCTGCTCCTGTTACATGAAGGTGTTGCCACTCTAAACTACACCTCAGTATAAACACTCCCCCATCCCCCCTCCACCGGCCTGCATTGGGACTACTACCCACCCCTCACCCTCCCCAGCACCCCAGATCCTTCGCTCACTGCCACCCACTCCACCACCTACTTACTTGTGGCTGCCTGTGCTGTCTGTCCCAGGGAAGCAGGCAGGGAAGGATTAAAGTGCCTCCCTGTCTGCCACTCTCTTGGCCAGAAGAGCAGCAGCCCAGCAGCTTCGGTAGCTAGGGAGGCAGGTTAACCCTTCCCTTCTCACTCCCTTAGGAAGAGCAGAATGGGCAGCCACAAGTAAGTAATACCCTAGGGATCAAGGGAGGCAAAGGGGAATCTCAAAGAGAAGGGGGTAAACCCAGATTAGGGGGTTGGGAGGGTGAAGTGGAATAGTTGCCTAGTAAGTCTTTTCTAATACTAGAGTCTATAAAAAACAGTAGATAAGAGGAAAAGGAAGATTTTCCAGCAAATGATCAAACACCATTTTATGTAATCTCCTCTCTTTATGTTTATTCCCACCATTCTAATATTTTACAAATAATGTTTTCATAATTATTTCTTCAATGTATAATTTGAAAAGAAGATTAGGTAGCTATACAGTAGTTTTCCCACTGGGTATAATCTGTATTGAATGCAGCTGCTAAAGCATTAGAATCATTCAAGCATACTTCTACTTTGACAGATGTGCCTCTATCCCCACTGAGAGTTAACCTTAACTAAAGTTTCTGATGCACTAACCAGACATTCATTTCCCAGGATGACTATCAAAAGATGAGGTACTTTTCTATATCTCACTATCAAAAATATGACATTTAAATATTTACAATTGAAGTAGACGACAATGTTCAAAACTGTAAAACTAAACTTATTTATATTTATTTTCCCCCAAAAATATTTACAGCCTGATTTATTGCATAAATTATTCTCATGGAAGTGAAGTGAGACAGTAAAATATTATTCAACAGGGTAATGGTGGCAGAATAATTTTCTGATTTAGTGTTCCTGTAATTGACGACTGACAAAAGAAACTTTGAATTTCCTTAAGTGGATGGTAAGGATATTGAAAATTAGGAAATGACAAGACAGCAGCTCTGAATTTAATGAAGCCTGTGAACATATATTACAAATCTTTAAAGTGGGTGAACCAAGAACTGAAATGGTAAAATGTATGCTTATTGTAAATTATAGAATATTCATGAAATTTGGAGACTTCATGTACAATTTTCCCAAAGGTCCACCAAAACTTACATCAGAACTTTTATTAGAGACAGGTTATGACAGTTTTACTGGACTTTAAATAGGCGAGAACCAGTCTACTTAAGGCTGTTCACCGTACAGCTGACACCTGTAGAATCTGATCATTGATAATGGAGGACTCGATTAAGAAGCAATCTCCACAGTTAACTCTAGAGACTTGAAACATATTCTAGAACTGAACATTTCCTTAAATAAGTTTCTGGAGACTGGCTGGTTTAAAACAATATTTTAAACCCATGCTGAATGCTTATCAACACATTTGAGAAGTACATTAGGATATTTCATTATACATGATCACGAAAGTCAAAGAATCACATGAGTCTAGCCACCTAGTGCTCTAACCTATTGCTGGTTAAGATGCACCAGTTTATATAACAAATGGCTCATAAGGGAATGATGTGCCTAGCATCATTTAAGCTCTGCCTTTGCCTCTCCAATTCAAATGACAATGTATAATTAAGCTGACTGGGGACAGCCTTGGGCAGAAATCTGAAGTCCACACACACCTCTGGAACCACAGCGAGATCCCTTAACTGCACTGGTGCCATTCCCATTATCATAAACAATATTGCTTGGATATTTATAACTGTGTCATTATCAAAGATGTGAATAAATCCTGCTAAACATTTAGGAACTGGAAACTCAAAAGGAAGGGAGATAAATTGTGTACATAGAATTATGAAATGCTTCATGCAAACATGATTTTTGACTGGGATTGATAACAGCTTTGCAAAAAGATGGAAGAAAATTTTTGACTGATGAAATGTTATGAAATTTACCGTAAGTTACAGGAGATTTATAGAAATAAATATATCTTTTCCTTTATTAAAATTACAGTTATCAATAAACTGGGTGGCCTCTCTTCTCTAGTCTTTCATAATGATACCCATGATTTCAATTTCCCTTTAACACTTCCACTGCTGTTTTAAATCCATCATCTTGTGGACTGTTGCTGTAATAGGAATGGCATACTACCTCTATAGTGCACTGTGCTGGTAGGTAGAACTAAAATGGTAGGAACAGCTGAGATCAGCATTACCATCTCTTAAGATGTTACTGTGAAACAAGGCAAACAAAAAGAACCAATCATACTTTTTCAATTGATTTTGTGGACCCTGATTTTTGCATAACAAAGGCTAGCAATGGTCAAACAGAAGGCAAATACACCAGCTGTGGAGTGTAAATAAAATCAAAACTATAGTTCAATTCAAGTCTCTTTTCTCAGGTGATGGCTTTATTAATATAATTTCAAAACAGCATCAAAATAATACCGACTACTTGGTAACCATCAAGAGCAGTCTTTCCAGGTTTCATGGAAATAGGAGGTTCTGTTTGATTCCTGAATATGCTGGAAATAAATGAGCATTTCCTGGCATGCTTCTTCTGGTCTGATATTTGTCATGGCTGGGGGTTTGGTAACACTTTTTAAAAGAAGATAACTGGAGGAAAAATGTGATTTGACTTTGAGGCCAAGTTCTTTGTTTCCCCAAAGAATTATGTGAGGAGGATTACACCATAATAGATAAAGCCTTCAAGATGTAACATTATCTGTGAGAGAACCATACCTAGTCTCCATCTGACAAAAAAATTAGATGCTATTGTTTTTATCAATGCTATTGCTATTGTTGTTGCTATTGCTGCTGGAGGGCTGTTCCAGAAAGTTTGAAGATACAACTAGGGCAGCAATATATCTTGGATCCTGCTTTGACCAATAAGGAAGAACCAGGTGAGGATGTGAAGTTGTGATCATGATCTTAGGATAGGGAAAGCATGAGGCTGGCAGAACTAAAACACTGGATTTCAAAAAGGTGCATTTCAACCAACTCAAGAAGATAGTAGGTATGGTGCTATGGGAGGATAGATGGAAGGATAAAGGTGCCTAGGAGGTCTGGAAGCTTCTAAAGGTCACAGAGAAGCTGTTTTGATACAATGGAGGCACAAGAGGAATGACAAGACACCCATGTGGCTCCACAAGGAGCTTTTAGGGTGTTTCAAATACAAAAGGAAAGTATATGGGCAATGGAAAGATGGGCAGTCACCAAAGAAATACTAGGAAACAGCAAGAACTTGTAGGGACAAAATCAGGAAGGCAATGGTAAAAATGAGCTTCACTTGGCAAGGGAAGTTAAAGACAAGAGAAGGTTCTATATATATGTTGATCAAAAAAGATGTGGGTACAGTTCTAAACAGTTAGGGCAAAACTCTTAACAGAAGAAAAGAAGATGGAGTTCCTCAAATCTACTTTGTCTACTTTGTCTTCACAAAACATTTCAAGCTACAAGCAGACACTCAATAAGAATTACTTGGATAAGGAAGGGGTCAAGCTGAGGGATGAGAGAGCTTTTGATGGGCCTACATGAATTTAAAATCAGCAGGGACTGGTGAACTTCATCCCAGAGTACTGAAGGAATAAGCAGAAGCGATCTTGGACCTTGGCAATAATATTTTTAAACTTGTGGGAGACAGAACAGCTACCTGAGGACTGGAAAGGGGCCAACATAATTGCCTTCTTTAAAAAAGGCACAAGGAGGACCTAGGGAAATATAGACTGGTTAGCCTCACTTCAATACACAGGAAGTTACTGGATCATAGTAAAAGAAACTCCATTTGCAAGCATCTGGAGAAGAAAAAGTTGATCACAAGCAGCCAGCATGCATTGACTAAAAATGAATTGTTTCAAACAAACTTGATCGCTCTCTTTGACAAGATAACTAGTTGGATGGATAAAGGGAATGCTGGAGATAGGGAATGCTGGAGATATAGTTTATTTGGACTTCAGAAAGGCTTTTGACAAAGTCCCACATGACTAGAGCAGGATGCAGACCAATGGCTTGAAGTTGCAGCAAAGTAGGTTTGAATATCAGGAAAATCTTCTTCACTATTAGAACAGTGAAGCAGTTGAACAGACGGCCTAGGGAAGTTGTGGAATCTCCATCACCGAAGGTGTCCAAGAAGTTGGATAATCATTTGTCGGGGATGAACTAAGAGTAGCTATGCCTATGCTATGTGTTGGGTTTTTCCCATGCTTCTAGGATTTGCTAGTTGCCACCTGAGGTCAGTGTTAGGGGTTTTTTCCCCTTCCTGTTACTCCATGTCAGGATTTTTCCCTGCTTCCTTAGAAACATATGGCTGCAGCCAGGGCTGGGGATTTTGAATGGAGTGTGCCAATGCTCCTGCCAGAATTAAAACCCAGAGGGTTCCTGGTTAGAGGGTCTTGCTCCTCCGCTCAGGGTCAAACTTATCACCACATTTGGGGTTAGGAAGGAATATTACCCCATGGTCAGACTGGGATGGACTGTGGGGATATTTGCTTTTCTCTGTACTTCCTTGGATCTATCTAGTATGTTTTAACCATCCTTGCAGCAGCAGGACACTGGCAGTAGCTGTCCTCCTGCTTTGCCTGTGGCAGCTTAGGGTGCTGTGCCTGGTGGTTGTGTGACAGGGTTGATTGTGTAGTTTTAGTAACAGGTGACACAGATTTTTGTAGGGGATGATCTGGATAGGGATGGCCCTGCTTAGGGCAGGGTAGTGGACTTGACCCTGGAGGTCCCTTCTAGCCCTACTTTTCCATGGCTCTGTCCCATTACTACCCTGGCCAGTGGTCTTCTGGTTCAAAAAGTGTCACAGTACAGGATGACCTGGCTACAGAAAGAGGATCACTACTACCAACAGCACATCCATTGGGCTCTTAAGCTAGTAATTTAATCTTTCACAGAAAGATCATTCAAGGAGGTAATATAACTGCTGACTTCTATGCACAGTTTCATAAACTCTATAGTACTACACATTTTTGTATAGATCTTAAAGTTATATATTTTTGTTTAACATAACTGATTTGAATAAGGAGCTACAAGTTTTCCTGCAAACACACACACTTCAATATCAAAGACTTAGTTCGCTTTCAAATATGAAAATCATAATTTTCTCAAACTGTGTTAATTTCTTATGCTCAGAGTCTACAGTCTAAATGGAAGTGTGTATTTTGGTGCGTCTGGCTTTCATTCCTATCCTGTTTATGTTTATCCTGCAGTTTCTATAAAAAAACATCTTTATAAGAATAATTCTAGATACTATCAGAAATCTCTATCATTATTGGCCAAAGAATAAATATTTGAACTGTCTTACTGAGGTAATGTTTATGAGGTAGCTTGTTGGTCCAGTAATGATGTCAGGTTCATTCCAGCTGATATTAATACTGTGAGGAGATACAGCTACTACAGTTACATTTTCTGGAGGACCATATGGAGCTGTGAAAAAAGTGATGCATATACAAATCAGTGCTGAATTGGTTCACAACACATAATACATTATTTTCAGTCACCAGATGCTATTCCTTTACTATTTGAAAATAACAAAAAAGGTTCCAGACCTATACCACAAATTAGTTATGCTGTTCAAAGATGTATACTTATCTGGCACAAATAATTTCCACATGGAAAATGGAGGGGGGCACTGCATAAACTATAACTTGTGGCCTGATGGTTACACAGCACTGTGCTTAGAAGTGAGAAAGCAATATCGGTTCAAACCCCTCTGAAAGAGGGACATAGAATCCAATTAAGTGCCATAACAATTTGGCTATCGAGCTAAGACAGAGGAGCTGCCACTTCCTCCTGCTGATTTCAGATTGGGCCACAGTTTTGGCATGTGTAGGCAGAGTCACATACCTGTCTAGCCAGTACATCCTACTGTACATACTCAGTAGTCCTGTGGATGCTTACTCGTCCATATTGCAATACAATATTGCAATGGAATAGGATCACAAAATGTGTGCAAGAGTCAAAAACAGCAGTCACACAGCTAGGAAACTGATATTTGGGCACAGAAAGTAAAATAGAATTTTGCCCTAGAACTCCAAGCTACCAGCCAATGATTTTTCTATTACTCCATTTGCAAAACAAACAAGAAATAGAATATATTTTATCTTTTCATTTAGTCAAGCAAGCAATTTACATTTATATGCAAGATAAAGAGTTTGGGAGCTAAAACTGATTTTAGTGCAACCTAACCTTACTGTATAAACTTATAATAATTTTCTAGGTGTAGAGATGCAGCATTCCATACATGCTATTTGTGAAAACTTTTAGGTTTCTGTGTGGAAATTTGTCCTCTGTTACACTGTAATGAAGTCATGTACATAAAATATAGCTAAGCATTATTATCTACCTCCCCTCCCCCAATCATAATAAGAAAATGATTAGACAGTATTAAAAATATAGGAATGTTTTTTGAAAATTATCTATATAATTGGAAAGGAGACTTAAAACTGGAAGTATGCTAGCTGAAAACTCTTGGTATCATAATAAACATCTTTTAAAAAGACTTTGTCTCAGTGGAAACTGTCATATCCTGATTTAGGATTGTTTGTTAAATGAGTCTAGTCAGTAATGGAGCGAGATATCACTATACCCTTTCTCTTATAAATCATAGCAATTTACTCAGTAGAAATGACCTAGTCTTATTCTCTCATTCCCCCATAATCCAATCACTTCCTCTCATAAGCACTTTTCTCCTGGTTTTCACAATAATGCATTTTCTGTAACTAACAACCATCATTTCCTGATTATCATGCTTCTATCCTTGCACAGGAATGTGGGTCTTATGGAGGTCAGGGTCATCTTTCGCATCCATCTGTGTCCTGATGCTATGGCAGCAGTTAAGTGTGCTAGCTGGAAGGTGAGTCTGGATAGCCCATCATTTTAGCATAATCCTCAAAAACAAGACTGAATACCCTAACCTTCTAATGGAAATTCATGCTTGCCAGTTTGGTTAAGGCCCAAGTTCCTATGCAAAGGGAAAAAGGTATTCTGTCCCATTATTTCATTTTTAAGTAATCTAAAACTTTTTTACCAATATTTTTTCATATTCATTGCATATATATGAGCATATCTTCCCTTCCAATGTTTCCCACTGAGAGAATGAAAGGGATAAAGAAATCCCTGTCCCTTCAAGGCAAAACTGTCAGAAGAGGGATATAACAAGGAATATAGTATCATTCCCCTCCCTTTGACCCCACAGAGGTATTTCTGTAAGAACTCCATGGCATAGGCTATCTGCAAGAGTCAGGAAGGGTGGTGCTGCAAAGGGAAATGGGCAGAAGCAGAGAAGAATCCCTGTGCATGGCATCATCCACCTGTAAATGCATGGGAATTTCTCTGTGTAGTGAAATGCTGATAAGGCACCAGCTGTACGTTACAAATTTCTACTGCGCACATTTTTAGTGCCTGGGGCCATGTACAAGTAGAAAAGAGCAAATCACCCTGACACATCAGAAGTGAGGTTTGGGGAATGTCACATAGGTTCTGGCCCTCTGCACATAAACCTGGGGCTTTTAGGGATGCCTCCATACCTGCAGGTTTCCCTTGCACATCTCAATATACTCAAAGCACTAGGAGACCCTTTAGCTTGCCAAAAACTAGCAAGTTCTGTATTTATGTATTATGAACTTTCTGGCCTCTGTACCATTCATTTTCATTGAATTGAAAGCGATTTTGTTTGAACAACATGTCCTAAGCCATAAAACAGAATCTCTTCTTTCTAATGAATGCAAACATAAATATCAAGCCAAGGGCAGATACAAAAAACAAAACAAAAAGTTTCCCTGAATATGGAAAATGTTGCTTTGCCCTCCCCATGACCATGTCATAGCACTATGATCTACTATGCCAGTAACTGTATAAAGTTAGATCATGCTGAAAATATTTCATCTTGCAAAATGGAGCAGGTTGTTTGAGTAATCCATCAGCTATGCAACAACAGTGCTATCAAACTATTTTATGAGGCAGTAAGACAATTCCTATGAGGATAATCTACAAGATAGAGAGCTGAGTAATTTATCTGGATGTGAAAACTGGATTAATATGGAGTAATATACTGCTCTGTACTCCGAAACACAACATCACTGCTATCATTGCTTGCTGTTTTAAAATCAACTTTGTAGTGATATGTACTGTAATGAGCGAACTCCTCAGTTTAATAATCTGAATATTCAGTGAATTTAACTTTTTTCCACTTGATCAGGGATTCACAACTTTTGTGGGTGCAGACTGCTTTCTGTGACCTGGCCCCGGGCACAAGTGTCTGCCCATTCTCCCCACAAAAGAGAGTGGCCAGCAGCCAGTGCTCATCCTTGCTGCTGAAACCAAACCTCTCTGCAGCAAGGGTAAGTGCAGATGGAATGGAGTAACAAGGCCAAGTGCAGAGAGAGTGGAGGGGAGCACTACAGAAGGGATGAGCAGCAATGTACAGTTTTGTGCCACTGATCTACCATGCCAGATTGGACTTTTGCAGGCCAGGTCCAGCCCGTGGGCCCTAGGTTGTCACTGCACTAGATATTGCTGCTCAAGGACAGTTGTTCACATATTTTATTGAATATAAAAACAAATTAGTTGAGATACTGAGGTTACATTATGTGAAATCCTTCACTGAAATCACATCCTTATAAATTAAGTACCACTAGATCTAGTTTTAAATAGTGTAAATACGTTTTGTGTCTGAGAATAATGGTTACTGTGTTTTCTTTGAGACCAAAAAGAATAAAAGTTATTGGTAAACCAATTATTTATAAAGAAAAACCCTTTGAGTTCTATTTTACAGAACAACTAAAGGAACTTTGGTTTTGGCCAGGGCAACACTTAAAAAGGAATTTCTTTAGGACCAGAAACATTAGGCTAAAATCTGCCCTCTAATGTGCAATTGCAGCTCCCACTGATTTCTATGGGCTGAATGTCCCAGCTATTTTACATAGCAGTGAAAAACCTTTAAGCCCCTACCGGCCATGTTAACTGACTCTATCCCGGCAGACTAATCCAGAGAGTGCTTGGTCCAGCTCAAGAGGGAAAGAAGAGAGGGATCCATACCTATTCTATGGACAAAATGTGCAGAGCTGCCAGAAGTGCCAAGACTACCTTATGTACATCTCAGACGTCTCTCTTCTGTTGCTGGTATAGCATTGTTATGTACCTAGGACTGCAGTAATGCTGGCCACAAAGGTTCTCATTTCTTTGTAAATGCAACATAAATAAATAAATAAAGCCACTAGGTGGTGAGAGGCATGGAAGCTGGTTTAGCTAGTTCAAAACCTGTCTCTTCTACAGACCTGTGGGCTAAGTACAGATATTCAAAAAGCCCCTGGAAGAAGTGCTCTATTGCACCTTACTTAAAGTACTATTAGTTAGAGTGTGACCAAACTGAACTGATGTCCACTGTTCAGTGGGGGAGGCCTGAAGCCTTCCTGCACTGGTTGCCGGAAACGCTCCTGCACACCTCCCAGGGGCCTGCCCGAGTGGCCCCTCTCCCCAGCCCTCCCAATCCCACCCCCACCTGCTGGTGATCGTCAGCACCAGCCGTGGGGTGGAGAGACCTTGCAGCCCTTCCCCCACAGTGGCACAAATGCAAAGACCAGTAAAGATGGTTCATTGGTGGGTGCTAGTCTGGGATGCTAGTTTCCATTCAATTCTCTACTTCCCCTACAGACTTGCTGTGTAACTCTAGGGCTTGTATTAAAAATACTTATCTTCCCATCTACTGTCTCCCCTTCAGTTGGAACCTAAATTTTCAGCATGAAAATTCTGCTTCCAGGCATGACTGGAATTCACACCTAACTTCAGCTGAGATTTACAAGTTAGGTGGCTCCTCTGATTTGCTTATAGGACATTCATCCATCTGGCATTCTGATCAGGTGCAATTCAAACCAGAGCAGCAACCTCCAATTTCCCTTCAAAGTACATGTGTACAACTGCAGATTGGTTAGAACATTCACTGAAGTTGTGAGACCTGCATACAATTGCATCATTTGCCTGAGAGGATTCAAACTCCACCTCACACTTCCTTGCTGAGTGCCATTATCACAAGGCTGTAGGGTATTCTGGTTGTGGCGTTCCTACCTCCTCTGCTGAAGGTGTTCCACTGCTGGTGGAATCTTTAAAGTTTCTTTGGGCCGGGGACAATGTGAGCAAGCATCAGCAGGACTCTCTAATCTTGGAGTTAGGACACTTCTTGCAGGGGAGACTGGTTTCCTGCCCCTGCTCCAATCACTGTTCCTGTATATCATCTTAAATTAGGTGCTGTATTGTTGTCTCAAGTCCTTTTATGGATACAGGGCAAGTATCTCTGTACCTTACTTCCCTGTCTATAAAGCTAAGCTAAGTGACAATGTTAAGTGATGTAGGGTTTAGGTGGTTCCCACCCCGCAATATAAACATGCCCCTTAGAAAAGGTACTGAAAATCATTCACTCAACTGAAAGCAAACTAAATTCACACAGAACAAAGAAAAGCTATCAGATTTCACTTTTGACTGCAACTTGATCTAACCTGGTGATTGACATGTAAAGTCTCCAAAATAGTTAATATTTCACTTGACCAAGAACATCTAAGCATTTTATAAGTAACTTTGTTTTACTATATTACTGTAGGTACCAGTTCTATCCTAAACAACTGCACTTTGAAGCTGTTATTTACATGATATTTTCAAGAAATCTAGGTAGTTCTCTGTGGGTGCATCTACGTGAGCAATTAATGTGACGCAATAAACTCCGAAGCCACTTGAGCTGATGGAAACTGTTCCTGGGTGCAGTGTCTACACATGTATCCAGGACAGCAACACTTTTGAGCCAGGGCAAAGCTGGGCAGCCCTGGGCTCCGGGTGGCATCACGGGGCACTGGAAGGGCTGGCTGTGGCATGAGAGTGCTGAAAGTGCAGAGCCATGTGGCTCAGCGGCAAGCAGCTCCTGCACTTAAGGACCCTCATGCCCCAGCCAGCCCCAGTAACTGTCCACACCTGCATGTCATCACACTTAATTACTCTACCATAAGATAGCACTGTCCCCAACAGTACTATCTTATGGTGGAATTAATTAATTTACTGTACTCTAATACTGGTGCACATGTAGATGGTGACACTTTACTGCAGAGCTAATTAGTTAATTCCACAGTAAAGCGCACTTGTAGATTCACCCTGTAGGTACTATTTACTCTCTAACCCAGCGAATGTAAGTAGATTGGTGAAAAGATACATTTTAAATAAGTGAGTTTTAAAAATATGTCTGTTGTTTTCACTGAACCAGCAACTTTTACCTGGGAATATCTAAGGAAACATTAGACAATCCTGAGTAGTCAGAAATCTGACGTGTCAATTTTAGTTGCGGGTTGTGGCTAAGAAATTAAATTATCATTTTTTAAACAGTTGAGAGTCTGGAATTTGAGAAGGTTTTTAGGGCCCAAGCATTTTAACTAAAAAATGACACGGAGAATATATTAAAAGTGTACAGTTACACCCCTATTTTTGCTTTACATTGCTACTATGTTTATGTATATAGGTAGAAACAATATTAGGATAGCAATACGAGGTATGACAGTTATCCTTACTTACAGCCAGGCAGCATTTGTGTAGAAATCCAGGGCGAAGAACTGCCATAACCAGCATTTGTACTTGCTGCCACTTTAAACCGATACCATCTGAATTTTTTTAGTTCACGTACTGTCTCCTCAATATGGTCTCCAACAACATTTCCATGTGAGTACTGAACCTTCTCATACTCCACACATCCATTGATTTCCCAATCTTCACAATGCATTGACTGTAGCTGGATAGTAATCTTGTAGTTTTGGAAGTAGCCAAGGATGCTATCTGGTGTTATCCATCTCAAGGTCACACTTGTTGATTGCACATTGGAAAAAGCAATATCTCTGGGAGCACTGGGAACTATAAATTAAAACAATTTTAATTTAACATAAGATACCTTAACTTGAATGACAAGCAGTTTTAATTAAAAGGCGAACTTGGGAATAAATATTAATATCTGTCTATCTGTCCCCCCCCCCCACACACACCCACCCCTCTACCCCACACATGGCAATAAGGTTTTGGCTTAAAGAAAACTATTTCTGTGTGTGGCCTGAAGTGGTAGCTCTGCAGACAGGAAATGTTGCTGTTGCTGCACTTGGGACCATACTTCAGATGGAGAAGGAACTTCTGCTGTTACAGACTCCTTTCATTTTGAAATCCCAAATCATCTCCCACTGTCTTGGTAACATATGTGAACTTTAGGCAATGTGAAAAGACATTTTGATTTAACTTTCAGTGTATAAGTCAGGGATGTAATGCATGCAGCACACAAGGCAATCTTTATGGTTTAATTCTTTATTTAACCAATGTATTAAATGAAAAAGAACTTGAAAAGCAATACATGAAATCCTGTGTCCTTCCTGCAGTGAAAAATCTGTGCGCGCGCCTGTGTGGGCAGTCCAGTTTGCTCCTTGAGAACATTCTGAGAACTTCTGTTCAGTCATAGTGTTAGCCCTCCATTGGAAAGTGTACCTTGCAGGTGGTCCTCAATAAAGTTTGACTTTATTTAACTCAAACTCCTGATATAAACTGGAGTGGAATGCACCTATTAGGTTCATGTATCCTAAAACCACAACCTTACTATTGCCTACTGGCTGATATATGTATCCCCATGAACACCTACTGTGAACTCCAACAAAAGTGCTTAAGCATCTCTATTTAAAGGATGGAGCACAAAGATGCATAACTCATTTTTCTGAATTCCATTTACAGACCCAATAAAACAAATTTTAGATAAGACAATGCATAGCATCACTGTGACTAGGGTTTTTTAAATTCAGGCCTATATAGGAGCCTGCACAGGAAATTATGTCTCGTCCTATTTCTAGCGCGCAAAAGAAAGTGAGAGACAGCAGAAGACACTGAAAATCAATTTTCTACAGCAATGCCTTGATAGTTTTAAAAATGGAATTGGACCTTTAAATGTCAGCTAGTTAAAAAGTCTAATTTAATTTATCTCATCAAATACATTTGATCTGATTGGATAAATCAAATTAAAAAGTCATTTTTTGTTACACTGAGTGAAAACATACTTTTTTTATTTGAACAAATGAGAAAATAAAATCAAGCATTTTCTAGGCAATTACAAAGTGATCAGCAGCGACACTCAGTGGTGCATTATCTTCTGTTGAACTCTATGTTCAACTAGATAATTTCAAGACAACTAAACTATTGGGTTACAGATACAAAGAGGATTACAATTACTTTAGCATGGAGAATCAGATTTCCATTCTTCAAGAATGACTAAAATTCCCCCAACTTTTTTCTTTTCACAGATGGTACTAATTTGAACAAACCACTCCATGCTTCCTAGAGTAATCATGCAGCTTGCTTAAATTTTATAAATATGACTCAACTATGATGAAGTAACCAATATTCATTCTAAAAGCAATTAAGCTAACAAACTGCATGTTAATGAATTATCCTTGTATCAGAAGTATCCCTATCTATATTCATGACAAGTTTCACTTTATTAAACTTCTAAATAAAATGTTAGTAATTTTCACTAGCCACTAGAATGACATTATTTTAAATTATATTTAATTCACTATAATCCAGTTAGATTTAGGAGTAGCTAAAATCGAAAGCTCTCTATAGTTTTCAGTTTAGTTTCTGAAACAATAACCATGAGGCAGACCAACAGGATGGAGTATTTCCAAACTCATCCACCATCACTTACAAGGAGACTAAACTTTAAAGGCAAGCACTCAGTCCCACAAACTCCCTGATCACCTGACTGAGATACTAATCACACCTTCCAACACCAGTCAGCTAATTCAGGGTAAACTTTTATTTAAGAAATGAAAAGGAAACAAATTCATATTGCAAAAAGCACCTGACTACACACCAAATATCCAGAAGAGACAAGAGAGGAAGGAAAGACTGACAGACACAGATACAAGGTGAGTTTTGTACCAAAAACATTCTATTCATAAGGAAGAAGATGTCACAAGGGCAGCAAAGGACACACACAAGCACATCTACCAACAAAACAAAGAGAAGAGGTGGCTTTCTCTAGAGGTTGCCATGAAAAGCAATGACTAAAGACAGAAGAAAGTAATGTGATATATCTTAGTTCCTAACTAATTTAAAGTGAAAAAAGTCTGCTGGAACAGCTGCTTTTAGCTGGATTTTGGATTAAAAAGAGTAGCAGCAGTCATGAACAATATTAGGAGCATAAACACAAGTTAATTAAGTAAAGGGCATTAGAAAAAACATGTACAACAACACAGACAAAAAGCAATTTAAAGAAAAATAAATATGTACATATTTATTTGATTTTTATGCTAGTCTCTCCAATAGAGCTAAGAGCAGCTTCCAATAAAAACAGATAAAATAATAAAACAATACCCCCAAAGAATATCCTGAACTTAACCCTA